AGAAACCTCCTAACTGTAAGAGTGGTTGAGCAGTGGAACAGACTGCCTCGGGCGGTGGTGGATGCTCCTTCGCGGGACGTTTTCAAGCGGAGGCTGGACTACCATCTTTCGGGTATGTTGTAGGGCTATCTTTCGGCTATGCTCCTTCAGGGTGCAGGGGGTTGGACTAAATGACCTGTAAGGTCCCTTCCATCTCTAACATTCTATGATACCTAATACAGACTACAAGCAAGGGACATCCCTCAGTGGGCCAGTCTACCGAGAAATGCCACGGAGGAGCTTGAAGCTCCGTAAGCGCAGCCTTCCATCTAATTGCTGTTCCCTAACCCCTGCAGAAGGGATGGTCCATAAATCAATGTAAGTGTCTCTAAGATGGAGCTAATTGTCCCTCTTTGTAATCCCATTGTTGCTATTTAAGTTACCTGGAAATGCAGGCTGGATTGGTATTGTACAGCCAACAGACACATGAAATAATCACAGTGCTTGATTTTCTAAACGTTAGCACCCTGGCTAACATGGCAACGGCAGGCTTTGTACCTGACGTCAGTCGAGATTCACATCATGTGTGATTTTTCGTGGTACAAAGTGCAAAAAACCCGCTGGCTGAAATCACTAAAGGTGAACAAGAAATGTGTAAAAATAATATTTAATACCGAGTTCAATAACACAATAACCAAGGTGTTCTTACAAGGAACAGGGAAGTAAAGTCCCAAAAGTTTCAATGTGTCTCATTCCTGTTGTATTATAATTCCATAGTCATAGAGTGGACTCATATAGTTCCTGGAAAATCCATATAATCTTGAAATCCATAGAAGCCATAGAGACGTGTAGTCTGGATGCAAGCCGCCGCGTTTCGAATTATTCTTTTTCAAAACCAAACGGCTACAGTGGGACCCAATCTCGATAGTAGCACGTACAGAAGCCAGTTTATTCAATTACAAAGGATAAAATGACTTTTGCCATTTTAGATGGCCACACAATGGCTCTTCTTCTTTTGCTCTGCATTTCTGTAATTCTGCAATGACTTTTTATTCAAGCATCCCCCTTTGGTCCAAAAAGTCTCCCCCTCCCCAGCAGGCTTTAACCTTTTAAACTCTGGATAAAGCACACTTGGCTTGAATAGAACCTGTTTTCTCATGAGCTGTCAAAAGACAGAGATCTTTATCTTATGTAAGCTTTGGGGTATAAATATATTCATTGAACTTGGCATCCATTTGCTTCATGGCCTAGAGAAAGGAAAGGAAGACGTGCGAGAGAGAATGCAGATTAAAGTAAGGCTTTCTTTCCTTTTTTTTACCATTTCCTGAGGAGTCCAAAAGTAACAGAGGATCCCTTTTTGGCTTGTAGCTTTCAAAGTAGAGGTTCTTTCTGTGTGTACCAGACAAAAGAGTCCATCACACAACAAAAGGATAAAAAATGATCAAATGACTAGCCAGAGGCGAACATAAATGCATGAGAAAGAGTGACAGATTGTATATTAGCAGGAAATCTGATCTGGAAATTAGTTGAAGAGGGGGTTTCCCTCCACCTAAACTGATGGGAGTTTTTAAAAGCATTGTGAAGGAGATAAAACGTCTCATACATCAAGTCCAGCTTTACAAAATGTAGCTGCTTGAGAGAAATAAGAAATTAACGTCCTGTTGTAAGGCAGAGAAAATGTCAGTCCCTTTTGCTATAAGATTTGTCTTTTGTTTTTTAGTTTTGTCTTTTCTTTTTTGGTTTAAATTCCCTTTTCTGAAAGTAACACGCCTCGGCATCTTTAGGTCACCCTCTGGAGGAAAAAAAAAAGTAAGACTGTCTTTGTTACTATCCTGTAGTCATCTGGGTGGTTTTCAAATTACACGCTCCTATAACACTCCATCAAATTTCCTTTTAAAGAAAAAGGAATAAAATCAGAGACACCAAATAAAATGTCTCCCCCCAAAGCCGTAGTCAACAAGGAAAACTCTTGAGCGTCTCAATACAAAGTAGTGAATGTTTCCTTTTTCCGTGACCTCACAACTGTTTTTAATTTAACCTTGCTGTAGGTACATGCCACTCTGGATTAATGCAATTCACTTTTCTTTATAGAGGCCACATTCCTTCACTTTAAAAAAAAATGGTAATCTTAACCGTTTCAGGGCTGCAGCGTTATTGTGGTTACCTTCCTGACCTTTTGCTTGTCGTCGGTAATCATAATCAGCTTGCCGAAATCACGTTGGGTGCTGCACTACAGTGCGCCCAAGGACTGTTCGGTTGGTTTTTCCCCCAGACTGTTTACCCTGCCTTTGCAGCAGCTTGCAAAATTAAAATAATATATTTTAAAATAAATTAATTAGCAAATCAAGAAATACGGTGCACCAAAATGGTGTTAGCTGCTGAACTTTGTGCAGGGAAACAGAACAATACCCAAAGTGCTAGTGCATTAGAAGGTTGATGGCCAGGCCCTATAGTTCAAGGACTTCGTCTCACAAAGCCAGTGTCACTGCGGAGTACTTCATCCAATGTCAGGGGCAGGTTTTTGTCTCCAACACAAAATAGTCCCTGGAGAACTGTAGTCTTTCCCCATAGGAGTGAATGTCATCATTTTACTTATATGAGAGAAATGGGGGAGGAACTGAGTTAATCCTGATTTGCAAATGTGCATGCACAGGAGGGGGCTTTTTGTGGTGGTGCCGGTACTGCCTACCAGCCCCTTGGGGGGGAGGTTCTCCCAAGTACTGTTGGGTGGTGAACACTGGCACAAAGTTCTATATGAGTACCGGCACTTAAAAAAGAAAAACAGAAAAGGCTTCTTCCTATTCATCTGTCTATCATCTAAAATCAAGTGCAGACTGAAGGGTTAATCTCTCTCTCTCTCTCTCTCTCTCTCTCTCTCTCTCTCTCTCTCTCTCTCTCTCTCACACACACACACACGCACGCACGCACACACACACACACACACACACTCACGCACACACACACACATGACCCTGAGGCAAATGGAGGCTCCATTTTTATGAATGGAGTCCAGAGATTGAGAAGGACATTAGGGAAATTGTAATTTTATTGACAATTTGCTGAAATCATGCAGTTTGACTTCTAGAGTGATACTGATAGTAAATCATTAACAGATCTAAAATTTAGAATTATTTTTTTCCCCGGTGGTAGCTTTATTTCTTAGTGAGCGGTGGTGGGTTGGTTCTCACAAACACAAGTTAAGGGACTGTTCAACTTGAGCTTTGTTGTAGCTTTTGTTGGTGGTGAGAAAAGTGGACTCAGATAGTTCTCTGGACATGTTCCAAACAATTCTAATTCTTGGGTGGACGTGGAGATTCTACAGAACCAGCAGATTCTGGGCACCGGTGGACACTTCCGCTGCCAAGTATCTAGATGACCGCTCCTGGATGTTTCTTTTAGCACTTTTCTATCATGGCTGCCTGGCCAAAGTTGGCATGGAGCCCCTGGCCGGACTGGGGAACAAGAAGACACAGTTAGAGATTCGAACTGGTCTCGGTGTGGGGAGTGACATGTGTGGGAACTGGACAAGGTCTATCCAACTGTGGGGCAGAGGAAGCAGAAGGAAGTTAAGAAGGGAAAGATGGCATCACCTTCTTCCCCCATCTGTACCCTGGATGTCCAAGCGGCCGATGGGTTTGCCTTGGAAGTCAAAGCTCTCAGTTTGCTTTCTCAGAAGGAACCAAAATCCCAACTCTTAGTTGAGGTATTAAATGATATTGAAACGCATTGTCATTTTACTTTCCCGCAATCTGGGGAGCAAGATATAAAGACAGATGGACTCACATTCTAGCTGTCTCTGATGAAGTGAACAGTGACAGCAACAGGGAAGCCACCAAATCCCATCCTCGTGTGGAAGCCGCCACTCATATCAGGTTTTTATAAGCAATGCAGCTTTGTAGGAATCCATGCCTGGATCGCGTCTTCATTTGTAGTTCCTTCCTGCTATATCTAGAAGTTTCCCTCTGTCCAAGCCCTTTCTCCGCAGGAATTATCAAGGCATTTGTAACGTGTGTACACCTTACAACTTTTGAGCTGCGTGGCTTTTTTCTCGGAAGGGTACGAAAAGGGGGACGGGGTGCCCTGAATGCTGTGCCACACTTTCCACTGGGGCACGGAGCTGTCCTTCCCCTACTTCAGGGGTGGCCAAACTCGCTTAACGTAAGAGCCACATAGAACAAACGCCAGATGTTTGAGAGCTGCAAGACGTGAACAAATATGACACGTTTTGATTGGGAAATATGCAAATTTGCTTTTTTATTAACATTAACGAGACTGCCAAAAATAACAAAAGGGGTAAAAACAGATATTGATAATGATATTTATTTGTCCGCTGATATTTCTTTGTTTGCTAATGATATTTATTTGTCTAAGAGAGAGAAATAGAGAGGTGGAAAGAATGGAAGGGGTAGAGAGAGAGAAACAAAGAAAGCAAACCGATGCGGGGAGGGAGGGAGAGATGGAAAGGAAGCAACTTTAACTGTAAATGCATCCTCCAAGCCCACCCCCAAGCCAGCTGGCTTGGCTTGGAGAAGGGATTTAAAGAGACAAATGCCTTCTCCAAGCCGGCTGGTTGGGGTGGGATTTTTGAGAATGCATTTAAAGTTAAAGTTGCTTTCTTTCTCTGCTCCCCCCATTTCAAGCCTACCCATGGAGGGGAACACTGGCTGGGGAAGGGAAGACCCATCGGGGACACATGCCTCCCCTTCGCTTCCCCAGCCGCCCTGCCGGGAGCCGCACAATATGTTTGAAAGAGCCGCATGTGGCTCCCGAGCTGCAGATTGGCCCCCCCTTGCCCTACGTCCTCAAGCCGGGCCATGCTCATATTGGTCTCTTAGAGCTCTCAACGACTTGACAACGGGAGCATTGACTCTCGCAAGCTTCATACCCCGAAAATCTTGTCCATCTCTAAGGTGCTACTGGACTCAAAATCTAGCTGTTGTACTGCAGACCGACACAGCTGAACTCTGAAACTTAGATATCTAAGGCTCTGCTTTCGTTAACGCTCGGTGCTCTGTTTGCAGCCATGTCATCCTACCTCCTCATTGTCAAGTCGGAACTTCCTCGTGCCATTGCCGGGCTTCTGAACGGGGACCAGAGCGGGTAAGGAGAAACGTCAGCCTTCTCTTGCGAGTGGTTAATTAACAAAACTGCAGCACCGTGTAGATAATTACTTATGCCATATGGATTCTTATTTTGCCAGTTTGGTGTAGTGGTTAAGTCCGCGGACTCCGCTCTGGGAGAACTGGGTTTGATTCCCCACTTGCAGCTGCTGAATGACCTTGGGCAAGCCATAGTTCTGTCGGAGCTGTTCTCTCAAGGACAGTTCTGGAAAGAGCTCTCTCAGCCCCACCACCTCACAGGCAGTGTTCCCTCTAAGCTGAGTTAGTGTGAGCTAGCTCACAGTTTTTTAGCCTCCGGCTCACACATTTTTGTCTTAGCTCAGGAACAATGGCTCCAGAGCAAACTAATTTAGACAGTAGCCAAATCTCCTGCTCACAACTTTAATGCGAGTAGCTCACAAAGTAGAATTTTTGCTCACAAGGCTCCATAGCTTAGAGGGAACATTGCTCACAGGGTGTCTGTTGTGGGGAGGGGAAGGGGAAGGAGTCTGTAAGCCGCTCTGAGACTCTGAGTGAAGGGCGGGGTATAAATCCGATCTCCTCCTGCTCCTCCTCCACAGTCATTACAATCACTCATGTTTAGTATTTTGTTATAATATTCCTTAGAATGTAGAAGAAGAAGAAGAGAAGAGATTGGATTTATACCCCGCTCTTCACTTGGAGTCTCAGAGCGGCTTACAAACTCCTCTCCCTTCCCCTCCCCACAACAGACACCCTGTGAGGTGGGTGGGGCTGGGAGAACTCTGACACAGACTGCTCTTTTTCAAGGACAGCTGTGCCAGAGCTTGTGACTGACCCAAGGTCACATCAGCAGGTGCAAGTGGAGGAGTGGGGAATCAAACCCGGTTCTCCCAGATTAGAGTCCGCACACTTAACCACTACACCAAACTGGCTCCTGCTGTATTATACTGTATTATACTGTAAAGTATAATACAAAGTATGTAAATTATATCAAAATAGATTGCATCAATTGTACAGCCTATGCCCAACAGGACTGTTAGATAAGCATATGGAGAAGAGATCTATCAGTGGCTATTAGCCACAGGGTATAGAGAGGAACTCTCAGTCTGGGGCAAGTGATGCTCTGTATTCTTGGTGATTGGGGGGGGGGACAACAGCGGGAGGGCTTCTAGTGTCCTGGCCCCACTGCTGGACCTCCTGATGGCACCTGGTATTTTTGGCCACTCTGTGACAGAGTGTTGGACTGGATGGGCCATTGGCCTGATCCGACATTGGCTTCTCTTACGTTCTTATGACTATAAAACAACATAGAAGCTTTAAAGATGACAACGAGAACCGGCCTAGCCTCGTTTCTGAAGCCTTCATCAGGTCTTACTGAGCAAAATGTGGAATTCTATAGTGGTCTCTTCAAATCTAATTAAGTCCAGTGTACAATTGGTTATTTTCAGTTTGTTGGCATTATAACACATTCTCTTGTAGTGGGGCACAGAGGTGGGAACATTATAGAGGCATTTCCTCTGCAGCTTAGGGGTTAGCCGTACTTCTCCAGAAAGAAAAGAAACGGCCCCAGACCTTTGCAGAAACCCGCACCTGCGCCTGCCGGTATGCGGCATCGGACAGTCTGCATTCACCAGCCTAATTCCTTTCTGATTAATAGGGGGTCGGTGAGTCATCGCTCACTGTCAGCATGTATACATCTGCAGCCCAGGCAAAAATAGTGGTTTCTCATTTGTGCGGAATAAGGAATTCTTAAGGGCCAGTTTATGGGAATATCTCGTTATGGATAAAATATCCGATCGTATTTTAACTCACGAGAATCCATCTTTTTGTTTGACTTTTTGAGAGAGAGAGAGAGAGAGAGAGAGAGAGAGAGAGAGAGAGAGAGAGATGGTTCGCTTTCTTGGATTATTTTGAGAGAAACAGTCCAGTGAAATATTCAATGCCGGAAAAAAATTCTACCGTGGCATTGTACGAATTCCATATCCTAGCTCAAGTGTGTTGTATTTCTGACCTCATGTTTATTGTCCAGTCTTGTTCCAGTTCAGTTTGTCACTATTATTCTTTGTAATTATCTGAAATTGCCCAAAATAAAAAGTATATTTTTTAAAAGGGCCAGTTTACACAATCGGCAGAATCAGGTAGTTTCGCTGGGTAGCCATGTCAGTCTGTAGTTGAAGAGCTACCCCGAACACAGGAAGCCGCTTTGCGCTGAATCAGACCATCGGTTTATTGAGGTCAGTATTGTCTACTCAGACTGGCAGCAGCTCTCCAGGGTCTCAGGCAGCTGTCTCTTTCACATCACCTACTGCCTGGCCCTTTTAACTGGAGATGCCGGAGATCGAACCTGGGACCTTCTACATACCAAGCAGATGCTCTACCACTGAGCCATAGCCCCTCCCCTGATGCAAGACATCCAACTCGTATCTGATGAAGGGAGCTTTGACTCTTGAAAACTTAGATCCCGAAAACCTTGTTGATTTCTGAGGTGTTTCCGGTCTGGAATCTAGCAGAACTGAGTGGTAGAAAAGAGCAAAGAGACCTGGTAGAATGAGCTCCCATACGAGATCAGGGCCCCGCGGGACCTTTCACAGATCCGCAGGGCCTGCCAGATGGAGCTCTTCCACCAGGCTTTTAGCTGAGGCGGAGAACATCCACACTTTATTGAAGAAGAAGAGATTGGATTTATACCCCGCCCTTCACTACCCAAAGGAGTCTCAGAGCAGCTTACAATCTCCTTTCCCTTCCCCTCCCCAGAACAGATACCCTGTGAGGTAGGTGGGGATGAGAGAGCTCTTTCAAGGACTGCTCGCGAGAGAACAGCTCTGAAAGAACTTGTGACTGATCCAAGGTCACACCAGCAGCTGCATGTGCAGGAGTGGGGAATCAAACCCAGTTCTCCCAGGTGAGAGTCCACGCTTCTAACCACTACACCAAACTGGCTCTCACAGCAAGCTGGCTCTCTAGTGCTTCAGTGAGTCAGATTTGAATAACTACTTGGAATCCCCAACTATCTTATCTGTTGAGGCTCTGGTTAGAGACTCTGTGTATTTTCTCTGATGTATTTTGATCAATTTTAACTGTTTTCGTATACAATGGTTGAGTTCAGACGGGCAGTTTGAAGCGGAAGGGAGTCGTGGCAAAAAAGACCCGGAACAAACTGTTCTGGGTTTTCCCGTTCACACTGCAGCAACTGATGCGGGAGCATACTGGGAGGAGGCGCAAGGGAGCGTTCACACTGTTGTCCCGGAGGCACAGCTGTAAGGTGCAGCTTTCCTCTTTTTTTGTAATCTGGAGATATGCGCTTATGCGCATGAGCGCATAGGCACATAAGAAAAAAATTGGCTTTTGACATTCACACTTTGTTGGTGCGGGATGGACGCGGGGTCATCGCGCTTTCCAGGGTTTGCTACCACTTTCACCAGGTATCTTTTAAACTCGGGAGCGAAGCGTTACAAGACGGGTTGAGTGCGGGTGGGGAACGCCGGACAGATGTGCGTGTCTGAACGGCCCATTTAATCCGGTTGTGAAACGTTCCTCACACGCGCCTATATCGGGGCAAACTGCCTGTCTGAACTTGGGCTATGTTTGAAGAAGAAGAAGAGAAGAGATTGGATTTATACCCCGCCCTTCACTACCCAAAGGTGTCTCAAAGCAGCTTACAAACTCCTTTCCCTTCCCCTCCCCACAACAGACACCCTGTGAGGTAGGTGGGGCTGAGAGAGCTCTTGACAGAAACTGTCAAGTTTTTCAAGAACAGCTCTTATCAGAGCTACGGCTTGCCCAAGGTCATCCAGCCAGGTGCAAGTGGAGGAGTGGGGAACCAAACCCGGTTCTCCCAGATTAGAGTCCGCACACTCAACCACTACACCAAACTGATGGAACCCGCCCTGAGCCTGCTGTGTGGGGAGGGCGGGATACAAATCTAATAAATAAAAATAAATAAATAGCACCTTAAAGACTAACAACATTTGTGGTAGGGTGTGAGCTTCTGTGAGTCTCTGCCTTCTCCAGGCACAGCTGACTTCTTCAGATACAGAACTGAGTGGTTATGCTTCTCCTGGACAGTACCATTTCACAGTGGAAATGGGAGGGGAGGTTGTTCATGTTTCAGTGCCCCCTCCCCCCAGTGTTGGGCTAAGTCTGAAACCCTTCTTTCTCTGATCACCCATTTTGTCTTGTGCAAGAAGTTTCATAACCTCGAAGGAACTAGTAAAATAAATGCCTTAAAACACATCCTTTCTGAGGCTTAGTGGTTAGCTGTAGTTGGGTCTTAGGCTTTCTTTCTTTTTTTTTAAAGAGAAGCTGACTCATCAAGAATTAGAGAGTTTGTTTAAGTGCAAACCAGAGGCGTTTATAGGAATTTGGTTTGAGTTTTGTGGATTACATGAATAAGCCAGAGGTAGACATTACATCCATTTTTTTTTTTTTTGCTTCTTGATCACTGGTCATTTTTGTAGTTTTAGCCTCTTTCAGTTTTGCTCTGCATTAAACCACTATGGCGACTGTTAGATTCATGGTAGTTTGGTAACATGACTCAGGAGTTCATTGTTCATTCCAACCCCCCTCCCTTTATTTTTTTCTTTGTCTATTTATACCCCACCTTTCTCGACAATGGGGACCCGAAGCGGCTTCCATCATCCTTCTCTCCTCCATTTTATCCTCACAACAACCCTGTGAGGTAGGTTAGGCTGAGAGAATGTGACTGGCTCAAGGTCACCCAGCGAACTCCCATGGCTTGTTTGGGGAGTCGAACCTGGGTCTCCCAGGTACTTGCCTGACAGTCTTAACCACTACACCACACTGGCTCTCCTCAATGTTGCTTTGGGATTGGGCAACCTTGCTTTTTGTTTCAGAGGGTAGCCATGTTGGTCTGCAGCAGAAGAACTAGAATCGAATCCAGTAGCGCCTTAGAGACCAACGGGATTTTTAGGGTATAAGCTGTCAAGAGTCGGAGTTGGCTTCGTGAGATATGGTATCTGATGAAGGGAACATACCCGAAAAATCTTGTTTGGTGTAGTG